CCAACGACAAGTGCTGGAAGGAATGTGAAACGGTACATGGTCGAGTTGCTATGGAAACCAATGTGGGTTCCCTGAAAAATTACTAATAAAATCATTAAGTGATCTAGCATTCCTCCTTCTTGGTGTATGTGCCGAGGAATTAAATACAGGACGTTGAAGAGGTATTTGTGCCTGTATATTCACTGCAGCATTATTCACAACAGCTGAGCTGTGGAAGCCGCCTCAAACGTTCCTCAGTGGACTGAACATACAAGCAACTGCTATCGGATGCTGGTATCATACATGACCGTCGTAATTTGTGTCACGAGGCTGGTTCCAACAGTTAGTGCTACAGTGTTTCTTCCTCTTGGGTAACATCTATAGGAATTTCTAACTATAAGATCATGCCATCTGTGAAGAAAGACAAATTTGCTTCTTCCTGTTCAGTTCGAGTGCTTATAACTTCATGTTCTTACCTAATTACTCTGGTTAGTATTTCCAATAATATATTAAATACAAGCAGGAAGATTTGACACACATGCTCCTGTCAGTTTTTCACACGGAATATGAAGCCAGCTGCAGGCTTTTCATAGGTGGATTTTATCACGCTGAGGGAATGTCCTGCTACTTCTGGTTTACTCAAAGGTTTTTATTAGCAGAAGACGCTTTCTCTGCATCCATTGAGATGGTCATGTGGTTTGTGTAACACCCAAAGCTTTCCAGATTGAAACCTGGTATTTGTTTCTATAGGCACAACAATGAGCTGTATTTTCAAGACAAACTTCTGAAACTAGTCACTATGAAATTTTAGAGGCGGTAGGGGCCTAAGAAAAAAAAAGAAACCCCATAAGATTAGAAGACCTGTCTAGTATTCCAAAGGCAAGTTATCAAAAGTGTAGATAACTGTTTAGAAGTTACATTAAATGTATGCTACAAAAAATCCCATAAACAATATCTAAAATGGAGGCACACTATTACACATATAAAAGCGTCCATCAAAACACTATCTAGGAGCTGTGACAAAGTCCAAATTATTGGATTTGGAAGCCTGGCAAATACACCACACATCGACAATACTATCAGGTACTTCTTAAGAATGATGGAGAGCCCAGCACAGTAGCCTAGTGGCTAAAGTCCTCACCCTGCACACACCAGGATCCCATATGGGCATCGGTTCTAGTTCCAGCAGCCCTGCTTCCCATCCAGCTCTGTGCTTGTGGCCTTGAAAAACAGTTGAGGACGGTCCAAAGCCTTGGGACCCTGCACCCATGTGGGAGACCCAGAAGAGGTTCCGGGCTCCTGGCTTTGGATCGGCTCAGCTCCAGCCGCTGCAGCTGCTTAGGGAGAGAATCATTGGACGAAAGATCTTCCTCTCTGTCGCTCCTCCTCTCTTTATATCTGACTTTCCAATAAAAATAAATTAAAAAAAAAAAAAAAGGATGATGGAGGGCCTGGCGTGATGACCTAATGACTAAAGTCCTCTCCTTGGATGTGCTAGGATTCCAAATGGGCACCGGTTCTAATCTCGGCAGCTCCACTTCCCAGCCAGCTCCCTGCCCAAAGTCTTGGGACCCTGCACCCACGTGGGAGACCTGGAGGAAGCTCCTGACTCCTGGCTTCAGAGTGGCTCAGCTCTGGCCATTACAGTCACTTGGGGAGTGAATCAACAGATGGAAGATCTTCCTCTCTGTATAATATCTGACTTTGCCATAAAAATAGACAAGTCTTTAAAAAATTATGAAAAAGTATATTTTCCTTATTAAACACTTCATATCACCTCAGGAATTATATGCAAATACATATATGTAAAACATAAAATCTTGGCTATACACAAAATACGAGCAATGCTCTCATAGGACTTAACTGAAATATACACATTCATACAAGAAGTTCATGGAAATATGCAGAATGAAAAACCAGCACATGTGCAGGAAAACTCCCATAATTCCCTAAGCTTAATTTTCCATGCACTTTCTGAAGTATTCTCATATTCAAAACTTCCAGCTCATTTACAAAGAACATTTATATTTCTCTGTTAAAAAAACAGAAAAGCCAGTATTAAACAATACGTTTCATCCTAAAAGCTCACAAATGTGTAACCCTGATCGTGCATGAAGGGCAGTTTGTGGTCACCACTGGGTCCCCTGGTGCAGCCACGCAGTCGGCTCCTCTGTCCCTCGCTCTCTTCCCTAAACAACCATATTAGGTACTCTGCACGGCATCTTTCAGGATGAGCCCACTACATCCAGCCCTACTGCCTCTGACCACACTCAGCCAGGCTGCTCCATCGTCCTTGCACTGACGGAAGGGAACAGTGAGTAATCTGTTTGGACTCTGTGTGTCCATTACCAAAAAAGCTTCTTTCCTAACAGATGTGTATGTGGTTGAAACCAAAACAAAAATACAGTAATTTATAAACCTCAGCTCTTCCACTTCCCTTTATGGATACTTTAGTTCAAACACAAGATGGAAACACAGCAGACAGATGCATCTACAGGCAAGGGAGGGAGAAGCCCAAGTGAGTGAGGATGAAGAGGGAGGAAGGCAGAGGGAGTAGGACTGACACCTGCAGGTGCACTAACGAAGTAAGAAAAGAGCCTATATGTACTGTCAGAGAAAAAAATTACAACATTAAAGGTGAGACAGCAAAATGAATCCTAAGTACTGCCACTGTGAACTCATGATTTTCGCTGGACAGATAGAGAAATACAAACAGATGTCTGTGCGTGTTTATTTACATATCTATGTGTCATGGTCACTGCAAGGAAAGTACAAAATGAGCCTAGAATGTCTGGTGCCACAAATTTAAAAATGATGACTGGATACATCACACATGGCTATGAACTTGAGGGACTCCTAATGGCTTACCTGGGGCCAATTCTGATCATGAAAAGCTACAATGGTAATAGACGGCAACCCACTGAATATGAGTCCTTAAGTTAACACTGACTTAATCTTACAGAACAAGAAAAAGTTCAATGAATGGTATACTTACAATCTCAAAATACCTTCACACAAAATATCAGCAAATAAAATAATTCTAAATTAAAGTGAGGAAAATCATTGCTCAACATAGGGAACTCTGGGAGACCTAAGATTAACCAAGTGTTCAACAATAACAGCACCAGTACTTTATGCACAGAAAACCCTTAGAAAAGGCTGCTGGAGGCCAGAGTGCTTCACTAGGCATCTGGAACCTTGGATGGGGGTGTCCGTTCCTCAGCAGTAAGGATGGCTGGGGGTCCACTGTGCCTAGCTTACCTGAACAAGCACCAAGGTTTGTACTGAACACTTGCTTTCTTTCTAGGAGTACAGAACGTGGGTGCATGCTAGGGCACAGAGCTCTTACACGACCCGCCTCCCGTAAAAACCCCGGTGTGGTCAGTTTAGTGCTGGAGGAATTCAGTGACATTGTGAAGCTTTCCTCATCGCTGACTGTACTTGGTTTCGTCCCTGCAATAAATCTTAGTGGTGATTACAACTATTTGCTAAGCTGAGTCCCTGTGGGAAATCACCAATTCCAGGGCTGCTCTGGAAGATGTCCTAATGCATGGGCCCAATCAAAGTCACATGCCACTTAGGGATATAACGAGAAAAACAGAACATCACTTCTGTATGATCCCTATCCAAGATAAACAACCCGACTCTAATCGAATCCTATCATAAGAACATGAGACAATGCCAAATAAGGGATATTCTACAAAACCTGTGACTTTCAAGAGAGGCAAAATTACCGAAGTTAGGAAAAGACTGGAACAGCTCAAAATGGGAGAAAACTAGAGAGATAGGAATTACGAAATGCAGTGTGTAATTCTGGACTAGATTATTGTTCTGTAAGGAAATCGCTGAGACATCTGGTGACATCAGAATACACCTAAGACAGCAACAGCACAAAGGTACAAAACATCCACTGAAAAATCCAAAGGTCATGGGGACTCGGGGTCAGTGTTTTGTTTTCCAATAGTCTGGAAAGGATTCTTGCAGTGTAGGGGGCAGCTCACACAGCATCTGAGGTGCTGTATGAAACGTCCATATTGCTCATTGCTCATCAGGGTGCCAGGTAGCAGCTCCCAGCTCTGCTTCCTGCTAACATGCACCCCAACAGGCCGAGTGATGACTCCAGGGCTTGGGTCCCTAATACTCACGTGAGAGACGCTGATGGAGTTCCAGGCCCCCGCCTTTTGCCTGACCCTGCCCTAGCTGTCACAGGCAGAGGGAGCGAACCTATAAATTGAAGCTGTCTTTCAAATAAAATGAAAACTAATTAAAAAAAAAAAACTCCAGTTGAGACGGTTTCAAAATAAAACATGAAATAACAGTGATGATGATCCCAATGTCTCACACAAAACCTGGGCCTTCACGATGTCCTTTGTAGGAAAAGCAGGAACGAAGCACTTTCTACTCCTCTCCAAGTGAAAAGCCCATGGAACCAGGAAGCAGCAAGATCGGTACTGGTTTATTACATGATCACCAGACGCGCAATGGGGACACAGCTTTTGTAACAAAGACATCAAGTAGAATATTACTGGAGTAGCTTTTGTTGTTTTGTTTGTTCGTTTGTTTTGTTTTTTACTTGAAAGGCAGAGTTAAGCAGAGAAAAGGGAGAGAAGTGAGGGGAAACAGAGAAACACCCATGCACTGGTTCAATTCCCAAATGATCCTAACATCCAGAGCTGGGCGAGGCTAAAGCCAGAAGCTGGGAATTCCATTTGTGTCTCCCACGTGGTGGCATGGGCCCAAGGACTTGAGCCACCTTCTGCTTCCCCAGGCTTAGCAGGGACCTGGATTGGAAGCAGAACAGATAGAACTCAAACTAGCACTCCAGCCTGAGATGCCAGCACCATAGGTGGTGGTTTAACCTAGTACACCACAATGCTGGCCCCAGTTACAATAGTTAATCATGAATAGTTACTGAGTGTGAATTTTCATAGAGCCCTTTCAATTAGAAAAGTCCACCATCAACATCTACTAACAAAGGATCACTAAAATAAAAAGAGTAATTTTAAAAACTACTAGCTTACCGTTTGTGTGCTTCCTGCTTGCTGCGACACTCTTCACAGTAATATTTATATTCACTGCATAGGGTTTCCGTGTTGCTAAAACCCCTGTGCAAAATCCAAAATAAAGTTATCCTGACTATGCCCAAAATTCATGAGTTCATTTTAAAATACTCTAAACCACAATAACCTTAAAATTCCACAAAGAAGTAGCTGTATATACACACACCTTAGGCAGTGAGTAATTGATGTGTTTTGTTCCACGTCAACAGAAAGATCTAAAAAATCTTCATCTTTGCTGCTTATCTGTAAAAACAGGGAATTATCTTTGATTTTTTTCAAATATCAGAAAACAATGGCTCCACGCTGGCAGAATGAATTGCTTTCCATTCCAGTGCAAATAATTTTCCCCACAATTTCAAAAGAAAAATGTACTTGACTTGGATGACCCAAAAGGTTACTGAGGAAATAACCCCAGCCTGCGCAGAGGGAGAACACCCAGGCACACATGGAGGGATGCTCCCTGACAGAGCAAGCGTGCCGTGCTATTGCATTTCTTTGTAAAAATCTCAGTGCTACTTTACTGTACAAAATCACCTATGTCAGACACACTGCTTCTGAAAAACACAGCAAGGCTGACTGAGGACACCCAGCAAAAGACGCGATGCTGGTGTGACTGCTAGAGGTCATAATCTAGCTCTTCCCCCAAACATACCAGTTAAGCCCACTTTCATTTATGGGTAAGTCATCTTGTTTCACACAAGGAATAGGGGAGACAAGTTGAGAAGCAAACGTTCCTTATTGTTCCCACCAAGAGCCTGCTTCCTTCCACACAGCAGGAGCTGGACCCCCCGCTCAGGTGCTCCGTGGTGTTCCTGTTCTAGTGCTGCACTGTCACAGGGTATAATGCGGTCTATACAGTACACACGCACACAGGTATGCGGGAACGCGGGCGGGTATGGCACATGTTTTTACTGCTTATACAAGTTCTGAGTGAGATTCTGCTTCTGCTTCATTTCTCCATTAAGCTAACCTTATGCTCTAACTGCCACATGACAGGTCATTCCACGGAACCGTAAAAAGGCACAGTAATTCCACACGACTGCCTGGGCCTTGAACAGCCAGTGAAAAGAAAAACAAGCCAGATCCAAGAGAGGAGAGAGCCCAGGCTGTATGGACAAAAACGCATGGCCAGGTTTGCAGCAAAGCATGGCAGAGATGGCCCGCAGTCAGAGCAGCCAAGAGCTTCTGTGTCAGAGAAAACAGGAGTAAAGATGAAACTGCTGCTTCTAGGACTGTCGTTAGATTTCTCCAAATGAAGTGTTCAGGGCAAGCACTGTGGCATCGGGAATGAGTCTACCACTGTTTGGGACATCAGTATCTCATTACCAGAGCACAGGTTTAGCCCCAGCTTCTGAGCCTGGGCTCCAGTTCATGCACCTGGGGAAGCAGTGGTGATGGCTCAAACCTGAGTCCTTGCTATGCCACGTGGGTGTGACTCGGACGGAGTTCCTGGCCCATGCAGTCACTCAGGCAGGGAACAACAGATGGAAGATCTTTGTCACTCTGCCATTTCAAATAAGTAAGCATTTCTTCTTTTAAGCAAAGTTCTCAGACATTGCGGCTACATTTGAAATGCTCACTTTCATGATAACCGAAAAGCACTGACTCAGAGGCAGTGAATCACGTGGACAGCAGCTACTTTGTCACATATGCAGTTGTGCTGATGCCGACGTGTCTAGTGGGACGCAACTTCACTAGGAAAAGCAGCTTGTGAATGTGTCTGGTTGCTGCTCGACTCAAGTCCTGATGCCGTGGCTGGGTTAGCAGGTGCCAGGCCAAACCTCAGGCACAATGTGGGGCTGGAGACATGAGCATGGGACTTCCTTCTGCACAGTGGTAAGAAAATGGAATGTGAACCTCATTCCCCCATGCAAGGGAGAGAAATCTACACCGAAAGACACACCCACCCACATTTAAGAATATACAGAAAAAGCGAAGATAAGGAACAAGATGGAGAAGGAACCCTCACAGGGCAGAAAAGAGCACCACTAGGTGGTACGAGAGCCAGCCCTTCCAGGAAACACAGTCCTGGCCTACCTGAGTGCTCCCACGCCCCCTGGAGCAGGCCTGACTTCTGGCTTGCCCGGCATCCTGTCCTCACCCACACCTTCACATGCTGCACTGGCACTGCCTGACTACTTGCTGGCCAGGCCAGGCTCCACCTGTTTGCAAACACCCTGAAAATCAGACTTGTGACTTATTCATCCTCTACCACCCTCTCCCTGTCCTCTGTGTGGCCCAGTTGGTACTTAGACATCTATACATTACTGAAAACAGAAATATGTATTCACCCTGAAAAAGTCAGGGTTGCACCCAGGTGTGATAACAGAATGGGGACCATCACCATCTCTACGCACTGTAGCGGCACACTGACAATTGAAGATTCTGAGGATGCATCCCCAATTCATACTCTCAGTTCTGGGGAAGCCATCTTACATATTATTGCAGATGATAAGAGAAGATCATATAATCCAGGCAGAAGGATCAGTAGCTACCTCTTACAAAGCACATTAATAAAAAAAAAAAAAAACGCTCCCTTTCCACTCTTTCAATCCCCAGGCCACAACCACCTGCGACAGCCCTTGGCAGTCTCCACCAAGGCTGCAAATGGAACCTGAGTGGAACTGGAGGAAAAGGAAAAATAACTTCGTCATGCACCATGTAACGGTGTTTTGTTCAACAATGGACCACATGTAAGACAGTGGTCCCAGGAGACTGCACTGGAGCCGGAACGTTCCTATCATCCACAACATTACTCATGTGGTGATGCCAGTGGAAACACCTTCACAGATAAAGTGCAGCACAGTTCATGGAGCACACAGAACTGCAAAATCAGTCAGTATTAACCGGATACTGAGTTACTGTTTCTTATTCTACTCTCTCTTTTTTTTTTTTAAGTGTATCACTTCTATTTTATAAAAATGCTTACTATAAAAGAGTGTGTGCTGTGTTCTCCTAGCCATACCCTTGGCCATGTCAAGTGACTAGCCATCCAGGTTTATCAGAAGAGAACTCTGTTTGCACAATGCAATCATTTAACAGTACATTTCTCAGAGACACACAGCCGCACCTCCCTGACCTGCAAGTGTTCTGCACGCTTAAACTAAGACATCACTTCCACAGCACAGTCTATGGCCTTCTTAGCTGAAAATTAAACTGCTTTAAACTACAAGTAATTACCATTTGATCACCCCAGAAATTCTGTCCATCAGCAGCGTAACAGAAAATTACACATCCACTGAGCAGCCCATCTTTAACATTCCTTCTATATCTAAGGACTGTCAAATGTTCATCACCCACACACTCATCCTCAAAGCACAACTTTTAATACAATGGAGTGCATGCTTTCCAGACAAAACTGTCTGACATACTTACAGTTTCACAAGTAAGACATCTGGTTTCGTTAGTTAATGTTCCCTGAAAAATCTCATGAACCCACGTCGGGTCTGGTGTGCTGTTGTTATTTTCACTGTCAATATTACCATTAGGTAAGCGACCATTTTGTTTTTCCTGCTTTCTCTCTTCTTGTAAAATGTCAGCAATTGTATTTAGCAGGTAATTTAAGAATTCATGGGCATCTTGTTGCATGTAGTTGTCAAAAAGCTCTAAAAACAAAAACACAGTAACAGAGAATTATTTTAGAATGACTCCATTTTAAAAATATTCTAAGGTCTATTTAGTATTTTACCAGAACCAAAAGTATCAATGTTAAGAATTACTGATAATGAACAAGAAGCATACTCACTTTTGCATCTGAAACTTGCAATTACATTTGGGGAAAAATCAAGTTAAGCTGAATGAATATCTTTACAAAATTATTAGTTAATCCCTGAGGGAAGAGTAAGCCAAACCTGCCGTCACACACTGACGTAACAGCTCCTCAGATGAGGCAGCTCTGTTCCATCACTCATCTAATCTGTTCTCCCACAAATATCAACACGCACCTGCCAAGGCAAAAGCAACTGCTTCAGAACCACAGCACGAACAGACTCAGACTCGGCAGCTGGAGTTCTTTCAAATCGAGAGGTCAACTTAATTCAGACAATCTCTAAAGCCCCTCCGAAAGTGAGACTCTACTTCTCCATGAAATGTTCCCTCAATCACACAATAAATACATACAATAGAACCCCAGTGTGCTTACACCAAGCCGTTTACCCAGTGCTTGTCGTCACACAACCCCACAACAAAACAGTAAGGACCTCGGAGGCTGCATGGCATCTGAGCCTCCCAACAACACTCTGATACTGCTATTACCTCTACTGCATGAAGAAATGGGATCAGAGTCAGGGAAAGGCACACTGCCAGGAGACGGCAGAGACAGGAGTCAAATCTGGCAGCCAGGCTCCAGAAGGCACTCAAGTGAGGCCCCACGTGAGCTTATCAACTCAATATGAGCCGGGGAATGCTCCACAGAATACACTAAGAAAAGCTGTCAACTTAGGACTAATTTCATTTTTAGATCACCAATGCCCATTCAATCAAAACAGAAAGACCACAGTTTACATTTTTAAAAGATTATGTACAGGACCCAGCACAAGGGCTCACTTTGTTAATCCTCCCCCTGCAAGCAGCGGGATTCCATACAGGTGCTGGTTTGGGTCTGATCAGCTCCACTTCCCATTCAGCTTCCTGCTTGTGACCAGGAAAAGCAGTAGAGTATGGCCCAAAGCCTTGGGACTTTGCAACCATGCTGCAGACTTGAAAGAAATTCTTGGCCTCTTCCTTTTTTTAAAAAAAAAGATTTCTTTTTTGGAAAATCAAAGATGAGGAGAGACAAAGAGGAGGATCCTCCATCCACTGATTCACTTCCCAAGTGGCCATAACAGACACAGCTACGCCGATACAATGACAGGAAACCAGAGCCTCTTCCGGGTCTCCCTTGCGGGTTCAGGGTCCTAAGGCATTGGGCTGTCCTCGACTGCTTTCCCAAGCCACAAGCAGGGAGCTACATGGGAAGTGGGTCCACTGGGATTAAAACCAGCCTCCATACAGCGTCCCAGTGCATGAGAGGCTAGGACTTTAGCTGCTAGACTATCACATTGGGCCCAGTTCCTGGCTTCTGATCAGCCCAGCTCCAGCCACAGTGGCCATTTGAGGAGCAAACCGTGGACAGAAGATCTTTTTCTCTGTAAATCTTCCTTTCCAATTAAATAAAAACTTAAAAAAAATTGTATACAAATTCAGACAAATGTTTAGGGAAGGTTTAAGATAAAAGGAATTAAAGTATATATTTTTAATAGAGCTACAGATATGACCACATAAAACTGTGTTCATGCATTACAAATCATTATTTTTTTTTGTTAAAGATTTATTTATTTTTATCGGGAAGTCAGATTCATAGAGAATGAGAGACAGAGATAAAGATCTTCCACACGCTGGTTCACTCCCCAAGTGACTGCACCAGCCAGAGCTGAGCCAGTCCACACCAGCAGCCTCTTGCAGCACTCCCATGCAGCTGCAGGGTCAACACTTCCACATATGGGAAAGACCAGCTAAAGGAAGACAGTGATAAACCACAATACATTTGCATATTAATACCCGCAGGAAATGAAGGCTGAAAATTCAGCATATTCATCAAATTCCTTTATAAAACTAGGAAAGGAAAACCAAATGAAGATTGGCTAAAGGAAATAACAAGCACTTCAACGCAGAAATACCCATGCTGAAATCTTACATGACAAGTGACTGAGAAACAAAAGCTGGAGCAATAATATCAGTCCTGCCCATCACTTTGTCTAAGCGCCCAGTGGGGACTCGACTGCAGAACTGACCGTTGCTCTTGGGAGTACGAGTCAGCAGCGCACACAACATGGGCAACCAGGACCCACCGCTGCACACAGGCTGGCTCTCCTAGACACCAATGCCAGGCAAATGCCCGTGTCTGCACAGCAACAGGCACGGAGATGGCCACTGACAACAGCCAAAGTCAGAAAACAATCTCCTTGGTCAACAGAATGGATTTTTTAAAATTATACCTTTTTTTTTTTCCAGGAAACATGGGACAGCAGTTAAACAATTATCTCAGGATATGAAGAAAAGAAATAAGGATGTTGGCAGCATGTTCAGACATGTGTAGTGGGTTCCATTTGTAAGAAACAACTAACCCAAAGACCCCATATTCAGATGTCTTCGTAAGGGACTTAAGCATACAGGAGAAGATTTGGTAGGGTCAAGCTGCTTCTAAGGTAGAGAACCCAAAGAGCCACTGGATTTGAGAAACTAGAATATTTGAAACGCCTGGCACTAGAAGTGCTTCAGATATTTGTTTTGCAAATACATATGAAAAATCCTGGTGGCAGGACACAAATCCAAATATGAAATCCACTCACGCTTCGTATACACTTTGCACACATGGCTTGAGGGAATGTATAAGCCATTTTAGTGTACCTGCATACACTGATCGTGACCAGAGGTCACATGGGGACTCTTCCTCTTTCAAGAAGTTTCTGATTTGGGGGCAATCTGGATTTTGGATTTTTGGATGAGGCAATGCTCGGCTGTGCAAAATGTATGCACGGATCATGTGCTAGGTGCAACATATAAGAGAGGTTTCCATACGAAACACCCACTTGCCGGTGCTTATCACTGCTATATACATCCTTCATGCTCAATTATCTCCCAAGCCCTAATGCCTTTCAGAAACCACTTCCCAGTTCCTCCCCATTTCCGCTATGATCAATTCAGTTCACACCAGCTCCCCTTTTGTCCCTCACCACCTCCACCTGCCCCAGAGCCTCCTTTGCTTCAGCTCCACACTGCAAGCATTCAGTCTGGTTACACACTCTCATTTTTTCTACTGAAACATTTTCCCTGTCATCTCTTACCAGGTGGTAAAATCTACACGAAATCATCCAGGCTCACTATTGGTTTTTACTTATTCAAATCCATTCCACAAATTTGGTTCTCAAACCACATACGACATCACTAAGATTGCAACAGGAACCACATTCTCCTGTTGGATCCCACTAGCCTTACAAATTCCCTGTTACGTCCAAGAACTAAAGCCAAGTTCCTGGAATCACTGTGTGGGATTGCTGTGAACTAACAAGTACTTCTCTTTTAACTTTGCCAATGGTGTCCACTGCCTCTTGTCCAGGACGTGTCATTGACTCAGAGGAACAGAATTCACAGCAATAAGCACAAACACTGAGCGCGCATGGTTCCGGCAGCCCCTTCTGCCTCTGAGGCCGGGCCAAAGCACGCCTTACAGGCCTCATAGCCAGCCTCAGGCATCCACCTTTAGGATGCAGTCGCAATCTGGAGTCCTCTACCCCTCATTCTCTTAACTTCTTCCCCAAACTTGAAATGCTCTTCAGTCCTGGTGCTTCCTTGTTGATCTTCCAAATAAACTCCTGGCTCACCAGCCTCAGGCATTTGCACACACACACACACACACACACACACACACACACACACGTACGTTAAGACTCAGCCCAGATTCTTTCCCAGTGGCCCGACTTCATCACTGACCTGGTTCAGGGTGCAGGTAGCTTACCTGAGTGAATCTGAAACCCTTAAAAGCCAGTGTCTTCATCTCTCCCTCAATCCCAGCTCACAAACCCACAATAGGGATCTTAAGGAGGCCCAGCACCAAAACACCAGAGATAGGAAGTGCATGTGGATCAAGTGTCACATCAGCAGGAACGACAAAAATCCAAGTCTACAGTGAAGGATAACGGGTGATAGCTAAAAAGATCTCCCAGCACTACCGAGGCACTGAGGCCAGGCTGCTCAGGCTGCAATTCAGAGTGCTGTAATTTTTCTCCATTAAAAAAAAAAAAATTAGCATGCAGCCTTTTTTTAAAAACGATCTACATAAAACAACAACGAAAGTGTAAATGTCTTTAAAGATTTACAACATCTTATTTCAGTTATCCCTTTAAGCCAGAACAATGGCTTTGTATTTACAGAAGTATTTCAACTGGTCGCATGCTGTGAAAATGAGATGCACAGTGAATGAGAAAACCATCTTCAAAGTTTGGCTAAAATGTTAAAAATACAGTCCATTTTCTTTAGTTACTGCATACCCACTGTGCCGGAATCTTGCAATGCTGAAAACCATCCAAAGTACTTTTATTTATTTGTTTTTCATTTTTTTCCTTTTATTAACATTCTATGATATAGTTCCATAGGTTCTGGGATTTCCCTGACCCTACTTCTCCATACCCCTCACCCCCTCACCGATTTCCCCTCTATTATTAAAATAGCATAGTTCTTCATAAACAATCATATGTCCATCATTGCAGGCAGACTGTCCAGCATCTGATTATCAACATAGAGTTAACAGCTTCATTGGGAGTCCATCTTTGATCTGGAAGTAGAGATGCATACTACATTGTATCCTCACATCTGGATATGACAGTCTCCATGACACAGTTACTGCGCATCCCCTTAAACGAAAAGCCACAAAACAAAATCAACAACAGGAAGAAAAATAGAAATTTACAACACCATGAAGTTAAATAACATGCTACTGAATGACTAATGTGTTACTGCAGAAAAGAAAATCAAGAACCTTCTTGAAGAAAATGACACTACTGTATGACCTATGAGTCAGTGAAGAATCTAATGAGAAAACTGTTTAGAAGAAATGAAAAGAAAAACAAAAATATCAAAACCCATGAGATACAGTTTCTGCTCATCTTTGTTGGTGAGATGTGTGTCCTGTAGGCAACAGCTCGATGGGTTTCTTTTTAATCCAGTTTACTAATCTAGGATATCTGATTGATGCGTTTAAGCCTTTTACATTCAGGGTTAATATGAATAGGTGGTAATTTGGTCCTGACATTTTAGCAATGGGTTGCTCATTGATTTAGTCTTCTGTTGTTATTTTACTGGGCCGTTGTTCACATTTGCCTTTGGTTTTCCTAGGTGCCATTTTCTCTGTCAATAGAACATCTTTAACACCATTTGTAGGGCAGGTTTGGAAGAGGCATATTCTTTGAGCTTTTCTTTACTGTGGAAGAATTCTACTTCATTTTCAGAGACAAAGAAAGTTTTGCTGGGTACGTTATTCTGTGCTGACAACCACTACCACATAAATTTACATCAAAACATTGATGGAATGACCTTGGGAAAATTCCTTTGAACTATATTACATCCCAGTTTCTTCTCTGTTGAGTGTGAAGCAGAAAAGGTGACCTGCCTACTAGCTTTGGTAAATTATACAACTTCATTCATTCATTCACTCACTGTCAATAAACATTTAGTTCAGTATCTACGTGCCAGGACCTGGATTGTGTATTGGAGATACCATGGTGTGCAACAACAAATGGGTTCTCTGTCATGGAACTGACTGTCCAGTGGGAGAGACAATTTTATTATGAAATAAATGTATGATTATGAAGTATTTTAGTCTTGAGAGAGCTGTGACATTAAAGCCAAAAAAAAATGAAATCACTTCTTAAAAATAGGTTATGTTTTTAACTCCAGAAATAGCTATAATTTTCATTACACTCAATACCTTTTATGTTCTTTGAAGAAAAAGACTGAGATAAAAATGGGAAATTATTTACTCAAATCTATTTCATAGTTACAATTTGTGAACAAATGCCTCTTCATTGGAGAAATCTTTTTTGAAACCTCTCCATGGCATCTGAAACTGCTATGTGCTCACAAGTTCCTTGAGAGGAAGGGCTCTCTCATTCACGGCGACATCCCTGGCTCTTACAACACATTCGCAATGAGTCAATGGCGGGATGAACCACAGGGGCAGAAACAGCCAAGATCACATGTGAAATGCAGATTTTGCCCAAACAATCTGGGCAGAGTATATTGCTAAGATTCAGCGGGTGGGAGTGCACAGCCACAGGTGTCAGTTGATACACTCCTCCCTCCAGCCCACCTTATGTGATCTGAAGCTATCTGCTGAGAGCCAATGCTAACATAATCAGACCATTAACCCATGTTTTATTTCTTCCAAAACGAGAACAGAGCTTCTAAGAAGTCTGGGTGTGGCTTCTCCCCTTATCTGCTCCCTTCCCCCAGATACAGGAAAGAAGAGAATGTGAAAATAATAGTCTTACCCACTTTCTGCTAACCCTTGACCCTTCACACACTAATCAAATATGTAAAAATTATCAAAAATAAAATTTATACAATTAAAATTTTAAAAGAAATAAGTCATTCTAAACAGAGGACTTTACTTTTTAGCTGAACACTGATGCAGCTTGGTCTTCCTGGTCTCTTTGCCTCTATTCACACACTGTATACCCAACCCACCCACTCCCCACCTGCTCAGGGCTTTTCTGAAGCACTGTGGAGCGCTGGCCTGCCCAGAACCCTTACATGACTTTCCATGTTTCCAAGACAAAACCCAAGCTCTAGGCTCTTTATTTTCACCTGACTTCAAGCACTCAGCCCAACCACAGTTTTTTTTTTTTCCTTTTAACATTTCTGCCTCAGTCCTCCAAGTGGCTTAGGTCTTGTTTCAAACCTCCAATCTAACCTTACCAGAGACCGTCCTCAATCACCTGAATCTACACTAGCCACTCCTCTGTCTTCTTCCCCACTTCTTTGTCTTGCCAGCATGAGGCACCATATAACACTGCTGCTGACTATCTTTCTCACAAGTCTGTCGGGTCCCTGAAGGCGTATATCCTTGTCTCTGATGCCTAGACAGTACCAGTACTTGCCAGAAAACCCTTAAAAGTATCCACTCAAAAAAAAAAAAAAAACAGTACCCACTCAAGCAGCCTGTATCTACCTTGTTATCAAAGTGAGCACCTGTGAGGCCAGGGGCTTCACACCGCTTGGAGGAGCACCTCCCCAGGGTCCTCTTACGCTACAATCAGGCAACGAGTTCGATCCTCAAAACAAAAACTCATTAGTGAACAGTAATCAAAATTCTAAGAGATGCCAGAAAGACTTAACAATTTAAATCAATAATGATGCTCTTAAGATAGTAGAGAAGAAGGGGATGCAGGGGGAAAAAAATGGAAAGTTACTGGAAATATTGATATGGGTAACATTTCCCAGAAATTTAAACAAAATCTTAGAGTGAAAGAAATGCAATGGATAAATCATTACATCACCTTGGATTTGTATGCTTGTCTACATAATTCTCAGAGGGAAATCAAAAGCAAAACCTTGTTTCAACTCATATTTTACAAAATAACAATAAATTAAATGATAAGAATAACTTTATTAGAATTATTTCCATGATTTAGAAAAATGAAACAGACTTGTAAGAGGAGGGGCGCGGACTATTGTAATATTCATCTTGGAACCAGTCTCATTTCAGGAGGTATTTAGGAAGTATACCATGTTACCAAATTACCTACAGACAAAAGACACTATTTTACAATATTCCCAATTTGACAAGCAAATATATAAAGCCACTGGTATTTGACTACAGGCATACAAACACAGCAACTCAAACTCTGTCTTCAGAATGAATCAACCAACTTAAAATCTTAACAGAGTTCAAAAGCCCATGCAGAAGGAACAGTAACCAACAAAATTATACTTTCAAAGGAAAACAAAAATAAAATGTACACTCCATGAGTTGCATACTTCTGGTGTCAAGATATTTCTAAACGGCCTGGCACAATGGCTCAATAGCTCAACCGCCCCCCAACCCCCGTTAAAAGTGCCAGGATTACATATGCATACTGGTTCATGTCCTGGCTGCTCCACTCCCCATCCAGCTTTCTGCTTATGGAGTGGAAGCAGCAGAGGATGATGGCCCAAAGCCTTGGAACCCTGCACCCACATGGGAAACCTGGAAAAAACTCCTGGCTCCTGGCTTCAGAATGGCCCAGCTCCACCCACTGTGGCCATTTAGGGAGTGAACCAGTGGATAGAAGATCTTTCTCTCTGCATCTCCTTCTCTCAACAAATATTACCTGCCTTTCCAGTAAAAAATAAATAAATCTTAAACAGCAACAAAAACACATTTCTAAATTACTAACAAAGTCCCTAGGAAAAGATGGCATGTTCTAGTTTCACATAACTTTCCACAAGAACTAAACCTTGAAAGCCTCACACAAACGGAAGGGTTGTACATTCAATCCACATTCTAATAATTTATATTTGACTTGCCTTATTTTCAGTGTTGGTTAATTTTCATTGTACCTATAAGAGACATCCATCTGCTGGTTCAATCTCCAAACACCCACAACAACCAGGCTGAACCACGATGAAGAAATGAGCCCACAACTGCATCCACACCTCCCACACACATGGCAGAGGCCCAAGGACCTGAGCCTCCCAGAGCGTGCACAAGTGGAGAGCTGGATTAGAAGAAGCAGAGGAGCCGGGGCTCAAACCAGACTCCCCAGTACGGACGTGGCTGTCCCTGGCACTGACTCAACCACTGCAAGTCACATCATCACAGACAGCACCACGTAATTCCAGGGAACAATTACATAGTAGTATGCTCTATTAACAACTGTGACTTTTTTTTGACAGGTAACAAATCAAACTAAAAATGCCACTCAACCTTATTCCTACAATGAATTCTACATGGAAGTTAGCTGTCCTCTGGAAATGTGAGGCGACATCCCATCCCAGGAAGAACATGGGAGCCTGCAGAAGATCAGCTCTGCCACTTCCAAACTCTGGAGGGCCTTCAGTCATCTCCTGCACATGGAGATGGGAATGCCTATCCTTCTTCCAACTTGCTGGGATTTTGAATGGAAAGCATTCCTAAGGCGAAAATGGACGTGGGGCTTACTCAGTAACTATTTTTAAAAAGGGAAAGGAGAGGATTAAAACTTGTCTACCCTAAACCAAAAGGTATGTGTTCTTGCCCTTTCCTTTCTCCAGGGTGTGACATCTAACAAGTTATCTCATATTCTCTTCATGCGGACTAAAATGTTTTCTATTTAAAGTTATTTCTTACTAAAGTTCTAGTTAAGCAATGTGAAAGCAACAGATACATAACCATGTCAAAAAGCTGTAGTCTTGATAGTAAAAGCCAAACTGGAAGGGAAAAGGAGAAGAAAAGGAAGAGGGAAAAGAGAATTGGGGTGGAGAGGAGGGGAGAGGGGAGATGAGGAGGAGACTGGGGTGGGGGGAGAGGAGGAGAGAGAGATGCTGATGGCAATTTCTGCCAGAGAAGTTCTACCTTTGCATAAACAATTTATATCTTAATCACACCTCATATTCATTACGGTGAGTCAATCACCTCCACTCAACTAGTACCTCCTTGAAGACATGAAGGTCACCTTGGACTTCTTCAATGGCCCACACGTTATTAGGCATACAGGTGGTGCTGTCAGACGTCAATGACAGCATGCCACAGCCAACCAGCCAACCAGCTACGACTTAGGCGACACGCAGAGCAGCGGAAGAATTACCATTTTCCTTTCGTAATCTTGTTATGAACTTCTTGGGAGGGATGACTCCAACCTTCTTCTTCTGGGTCGCGATGCTGTGGAAGAGGTCTGCTAAGCACGTGAGCAGGCTCTCCTTCTTCCGAGGCTGACTCTTGTAGGCTAGGACCTTCTCCCGGAACGGACGACAGAAATAAAGTGCTTGAAGAACTGAATTGCAGTAGCAGGTATTCCCAAACTGGAACAAAACAACAACAAAAATTCTGTTAAACTTGGAGCACTCTATTTTCATGATGAATTGCTGAGTGTAATAGGGAGGACAGAAAGAGCAGCCAAGCAATCTCAGATCCATTTCAATTAAAAGATATCAGATATCAGATATCAGAGATATAATTAGTTTACAAATCAGCCATTTTAACACTATACTGACACGCTGGGCATCAGTTTCAGATTAAAACTAAAGGAGAATACATGCAAGAAGCATGCTCTTTATGGAACTAGCTTAAGGAACTAAACAAAGAGAAATGCTTAAAATTCTGGTAATTTTCTCTTTTTATATTTCCACTGTTAACTACAATACTGCACATCTGCTAAGCATTTGGAAATATAACTTCAAAATTCCAGTAAAAATACACAAAAATGAGGTTTTCTACCAGGTTCTTAGAGTACCCCTCCCCCCAAAAAAACCCACAAAACAAAAACATTAAGCAAATAACAACAACAAAAAGATCACTGGTAATGTTACATGCTAGAGCAAAGGATCTAGACTCATTATTTTAGTTAAGCTCTTACTGAGCCTGATTTATCAGTGCAACTTTATTTGAAGTCGGTGCAGTGGCATAGTAAGAAACGCTGCCACCTGGTTTGCCAGAATCCCATATGGGTGCCAGTTCTAGTCCCGGCTATTCCAGTTCTGATCCAGCTTCCTGATAATGCACCTAGGAAAGCAACAGAGGATGGTCCAAGCGTTTGGATCCCGGAACCCACATAGGACACCCAGAAGAAGCTCTTGGCTCTTGCCTAACTGCAGTCACCGCAGCCATTTGGGAAGTCAATCAGCAGACAGAAGACAGATATCTCTCTCCCCCAGTCCCAGGAAATGAAATACCCGTGAATGACTGCAAAATGCTTCAAAAAGCTTTTGTTGTAGGGCTTAAAAAAAAAAAAAATCAATTCAAAAAGAAAAATACATTAAAATTCCTAAAACTGAAAACCAATATAAAATTTAAAACTTGTATGTTTTTCTACAAATTAAACAGAGAAAAGAATGACTTCAGGTGGATTCTCCAGCATAGAGAACTTTGACTTTATGCATGCCCAGGGAGGCACAATGTAAAGATTAAAAGAATGATAAAGAAACCTACTGTCACTCAGCAGCCATTTTAGACAAAGCAAGCAAGGAATTACAGCAATATCATTAGAAATAAAACAGTTTAACAGAAAAAAAATATTGTATCAAAATCCAGGAAAGCAAAAGATCTGTAAACTTTCTCTAGAAATATCAATATAAGCTCCCACCTTTTCATACCTCTTAGGAGTGTGTGCATTTGTGTCTCTACGGGTGCACATGTGTGAATCTGCTTTCAAGCTCTGTCCACTGAAAAGGTATGGCAACACTGGGGTCCACTCCCCTCAAGCCTGTATCCAAATTGTGGTCACTACACATCTTTTCCCCATCAAAAGTATCCAACCAATATACCTTAGAGGCATGGCTGATCAAAAATCTGGACCAAGAAATGTACAATATGCAAAAATTATCCTGGAATGTCTTTTTGTGAACTTGTAAGATTCAATTTCGATTCAAAAGAAACACTGTAATAGATGAAAACCTGGCTATTAAAAATTCATGATTAAAATGACGTTAAACAAAAAAAGTCTCATTGTTCTCCACTGGAGGATGTAAACTAAAATATAACAAGAAAATAGCAATATCTTATTGTTTTTGGTAAGAAACCACATTTCAAGGGCACTAAATCATCAAGGAAGTTCTTGCTTATACGATAATTCCTGTTAATAAAATCAGAAGAAATGTCTGTAAGTACTACATGATGCAACGATTATCAACACAGACTAAAAGAACTGGGTTAGAGGTAGACAGGGAGCTTCAAACAAAGGGATCAACTTTAAGCCCCCACACATTCCTCCCGGAGAGTAAACAAGCCAGTGTTTCAGGTCTTGTGACCCATCCCAGCTGCCATGAAGCACCAGGGCCTGAAAACACAAAGCCGCTGACCTCCCATCGGTCTCCAAGACTTAACTGCTGATTTACAGGGTATTCAAACGTGAAAGAATAAGCGAAACAAGACCACAAGGGTGACGCCAAATGTAAAATGTAGGATTGCTTCTAGGACCAATGAAGGTCTGGTCTCACAGAATAAAGAAAACAGATCGGGAAAGTTCCAGAGACACCCAATCAGATTACAAGCATACTGCCAGGGATTTACTTGAATCTTGATCTGAACATAACTACAGGTTGAAGATTCCTTACTCGAAGCACTTGGAGCTGTAAGTATTACAGAATTCAGATCTTTTTTGTATCTTGGAATATCTGCATATATCTGGTAAGATATCTTGGGGATGAGACCCAAATCTAAACACAAAATTCATTTATTTCATATGTACCTTTCACACAAGACAGAAACTTTGGGCAATTGTTTAAATTTCTTCTTCTTTCAATCTATTTGATTCTTCTGTGCGTGAAGCACAACTTAAGAACATGGAATTTCCCAGGTGTGGTATCATGTTAGCATTCAATTTAGGTTTTGAAGCATTTCAGAGTTCAAACCTTTGAATTACAGATGCTCAAGCTGTATAAAAAGCAACCTTTGAGATAACTGGCATTTAAACATAGGACAATACTGGGAAACTTATCAATGTTATTGGGTGTGATAAGACAGTCACTTTTTAAAAAATGTCAGATGAAGACAAAAAAATAAATACGTATGGTCAAAATGGCATAAGACTAAGATTCCTCTCTCCAGGGCAGTTAAAAGAAACAAGTAAGGGGCAGAGCATGTTGGTGTGCGGTACACGTGTGGTAGGTACACGGCAGACTATGCAAACCCTGGCAGAGCACTGGTCAATGTCTCACTAGGCAAGTGAGCACTGTTTTACTGATGACTGATTTCTGGTTTGTAGCAGACGGCTGTTGAACCTCAAGTAAACTATAGGATCACACACATGTTAAGTTCAGAGCAAACACATGATCTACCCAGTTTAACTAAAAGGAAACACTGAATCTAGGCACAGCCAATCATTCTAGGGAAAAACAGTTTAAAAGTCTAGCTACAGTCAATTTCCTAAGTATCTGAATACGTCTGTCATCCCCAGACATTAAAACAAGTGTGGAAGCCCCGACACTGCCCATGGCTCCCCCTGCCCCATGAGTCCCCTTCCCTTACTCATCTTCTAACAGACCTCCTAAACGTTCACAAAGAACAGACTCACGACCTCTACAGGCACGAGTTGGAGACAGGCAGGCCTCTGGCAGGCACTTGGGACTTCTCGCATTCAAAGAACAGGCCAGGGCACAGTTAAGAGCGAGCCCTATGGGATTTCCAGGAAAGGCTAAGCAAGGACATTGCGATGCTATACTGGTGGCAGTGATTCCAAACACACCTGCAGCAGAGCCTACAGTGTCACTAGGATTTGACTAGTCGTCCAGGGCAAGCGTCGCATAAAAAATTCTAGTAGTATTATGTGCTACAGTCCAGAGAATCTAAGGACCAAGACATTCTGGTTCTGCCACGTGAAGATAAGAGTCAGAACTTGGGACACTTTTCTTGAAGAATGTGCTATGTACCTTTCATTTTCAAAGATAAAGGAAAGCCTTGCAGGGTATGTTATCTTGGGCCAACAATTTTTTTTTTTTTTCCTTTTAGAATCTAGAATGTCACTCCATTCTCTTCTGGACTGTAGAGTTTCCTGTGAGAGGTCACATGAGTCTGATTGCCATTCCTCTGCATTTGATTTTTTTCACATGCACATTTAAGGATCTTTTTCTTATTTTCAACTGAAGAAAGCCTGATTATCATGTGTAATCGTGAAGATAGCTTTTGGTTAACTCTATTGGGAGTTCTGTGCCCCTTCTTTCTCCAAATTAGAAAACTTTTTTATTATCTCATTAAATACATTTTCAAACCCAGCTTTTCTTTCTATACCTTCTGGAACTCCCATAACTCTTACATTTGACCTTTTAATAATGTCTCTTAATTCTTGAACACCTTTTTTAGCTTGACCCAGCTCTGCTCCCAGCTCTATGATTGGTTCCATGGTGACAAGAAATATCTTCCAGTTCTGAGATTTTTTCTTCTGCCTCATTCATGCTATTATTGAGACTTCCCACGGGATTTTTAATTTCCTCCATTGTGTCCTTTATTTCCAATAATTCAGCTTGAGTTTGATTCAATGTCACTATTTTCTGTGTGACATATTCCTTGAATTCCTTGAATTCCTGCATGTGCTTCTCTTTGTTGATAAGTAACTTTATAATGAGTTTTCTCAATTCTGTATCCCCCATTTACTCAATGTATTCCTCAATTAACTCAGAGGTTGGCATAGGATTTTACTCCTTTGCAGGGGAGTCTTCAGTAATATTCATTGTGCCTCTCTTCTTTCATTCTTGGTCATTGTACTTCTACTTAGCAAATTCTTCTCCTTGGGGCAGGTTTCTAAGCTGTGTCAACCACAGGTCTACAGGTCAGTTTTACTTATTGTGGTTGGTACATGGCTCTTTGTTTGCTGTCACTTGTGCCACTCCCTCCAGCGAATTCCAGGTCTGGGTTCTTGTGTTCGAATTACACCATAGTCCTGGCTCACCAACCAGTCTCCACCTCCTGTGATACTGTGCTGAAGCTGCACCATTGTCTTTACAGCCTTTCTCCTACTTCTGGTTGGAACAGGTTCCAGGATTAGGGAGATACCACGTGTCCTAAATAACTAGGTTGTTGGTGGTGCTGATCTTGATGGAACCTGCTGGCATTAAGTCTGAGGGCAACCTCGATCTATTTTGACCTGTAAGATGCCAAAGTCATTTTTATTTTCCCTGTAGGACCAGTACAACACACTGAGCTAGAAATGAGTTTGCTCCTAGCTCAGCACATGCACAGCTGACTATTGTCCCTCCAGTCTTACAAACCTTTACCACACTGTACAAAATGGCAGCTGATGTGCCACTGGTGGAGTTCTGGATCTGCTGGCTGTAGCTCTGGTGGCTACCCAGACCTATTTTGGGTAGAAGCTATAGTTTGTCACATCGGTACAATGCATTGAGCCAGAAATGAGTCCCTCCAAGTTCAGTGAAAGTGCAGTCCCGTCCCACAGCCTTTGCCTTTCCTATACAAAATGACAAATGCAACTCTGGTGAGTGTCTGGGCTGTGAGATTCACCCTGTTCCCACACGGCTATTTGGGATCTGCTGTCTTTCTCTGCTCCTGGTTGAACCAAATCAGCAGGACAGGCAGTTCCTTGTCTGGGGTCACCTCCTGAGTTCCCAGTGAACTCCCCTCCCTACCTGGCTACTGCTGGAGCTCAGTTCACCACTTGCTGACTGCCGCAGGGGTATCTGGTCATTGTAACAGTGCACGGTTGTCTTCACTGCTCTCCTATGGCCATCTCCAGGGAGCTCTCTACGCTGGCATGTCCTCTCCTATTTTCTGGAATGTGCCCTCTGCTTCACCCAGCTAATGATTCTACATCTGTTAAACATGTTCTTACCCTATTCTGCCATCTTGATTCTCCAAATGCTATTATTTGTGACATCATTCTTCCAAGAGAAAATGATTTCAAATAGAAATTCTCAAGAATATCCCACATTTTAATAATGTATGCTGATCAGAATTACCTCTAGAAGAACTGGAACTTAATTTTCCTTTGCTATTTTTGTTTGTTTTGCTTTGCTTTATTTAAGGATTTTTAAGAAAGGCAGAGTCAGAGAGACATGTTATAGCCACTGCTTCACTCCCCAAATGGCCCCAACAGTCAAGAGAAGGGAGCTTTGGGCCCGGCACGATGGTGCAAGTGGTTAAGGTCCTCGCCTTGCATGCCCAGGATCCCATATGGGCGCCGGTTCTAATCCCAGCAGCCCCGCTTCCCATCCAGCTCCCTGCCTGTGACCCAGGAGAGCAGTCGAGGACAGCCCAAAGCTTTGGGACCCTGCACGCGCGTGGGAGACCCAGAAGAGGCTCCTGGCTTAGGATTGGCATAGCATCGGCTGTTGCACTCACTTGGGGAGTGAATCATCGGACGGAAGATCTTCCTCTCTGTCTCTCCTCTCTGTATATCCGCCTTTCCAATAAAAATTAAGAAAAAAAAAAAAGAGAAGGGAGCTTTATCCCAGTCTCCTGCATGGATAGAGGAGTCTAAAGAATTGGGCCATCCTCAACAGTTTTCTCAAACGCATGAGCAAAGAGCTGAATCAGGAGTAGAAGAACCGAGGCTCCAATTGGCACCCAGACAGGCTGCCATTATCACAGGTGGTGGCTTAACTCAACTGTGCCACAACGCGAGCCCCAGCACATTTTCTTTGCATTTGCATGTTTCCATGTGTAAGACTGGTAGAATGCCAGAAGTAAAGCAACAAATGCCCTGTAGGTGTATGAAGGCACTTACATGGTGATATTCACATTTAATTCTAATTAAATCATTTTCAAAGGATCAAAGATCATCTGATCTGGGCTATACAGGAAATTTTCAATGTAAGACATTTTTTGTAGAAACAGGAAAAATGAGGCTGTCAAGTCAGAAACTATTCTATGACCTCAGGCAACTCTGCTTCCCTCCCAGTAAAAACTGTTTTTGATACAAACAAAGCAACATTCCTGCCATATATTACGAAGTCTATGCATCATTTTTCAAACTGCTTCCAACATGACTCCCAGGGCTAAGCATCAGTGAATACTTACATTGACTAATCCAAAATAGTGCTCGTTGACGGGAAACTGTTCTGGGCCAATCTCTTTCTCTAATGCCGAGGCATTGGCGCCCTAAAACAAACAAAAGTGAAAATTACTCTTAGCATTTGCAATCCTTTCGTTGCATCGCCAGTCACACGGGCATGATGGAAGACCATCTACACACACTACCCAACAGCACTGAAGAGAGAAAAGGCTTCCAAGCACCTAACTCCAATGGCATTCTGGAGCTTTCCTGGGACACCGAAACCAGGATCAGGCAAGGCATCAGTACTGTGCTCCCGTTTTCTAAGGATGACTGAAAACCCCGCTCAAACTTGGCTTCTACGTGTCATCTGGGAACAGCCTCACAGGAGCCAACACTGACACTAAATGTGCTCATGGCCCCTAGCCTTGCAACACTGAGGCACAGAGCCACAGCTGGCAGAGCATTTCCTGAAGCTGTCACTGGCACCCGCAGGCTGGCAGCAGTGCAGATGGCACAGCGTGGCAGTAACAGCACGTTATATGGAAGTCGGGCTGCAGGAACTAGACTGACACATGGAGATGTGGAAAATGAACACAAGGAAAACTGGTGCCAAACAATACATAAAAAAACAGCACGAGGATGGATATAAGGCACACAAGTGGTTGTTGGACCAGGGCCATGGGACAGGGGACAGAGAACAAGAGGGAAAAAAAATCAAAGCCCTTGAGCAATCAGTGTGTCCTAGCCTCAGGAATCCAAGCAGCTCTAAGTCAAAGCCACCGTGGGGCCCAGACACGGCTGAGCACACGACACAGGCACCACCTTGTGGGCTCTGAAACCCAGCAAGCCATATGCAACAGGTGGACTCTGAAGATTCCCAAGACAATATTCTACCAGATAAATGTAACATATGCCACAGCACTCAAACCCCCCCCCCCACACACAACCAAATGGCACTTTCAACAGCCACATGGAAGATCATATACTTCCCCACTACATTGAGCATACAGCTAACTCCACACCAAAGCTGAGAACTCCACACCTGTGGGTTCCTTGTTGAGCCTAATTCCTGGACCAGGAAAATCAACTTCCTGCCAGATCAAGACTGACAGAGAGCCCGTGCTCCCTCAGGCACCGGCTGAGCTGGTGGTCAAGGTTCACCATATAAGGAGGTTTCCCCACCACCCTCCAGGTGGCTACCCCTTGAAAGTACAAAATCCTGGCTTCATCTTGTCTGAATCAGGAATTCCATTTAGCTTTACATCATTATACAATCATGACTTAACAGGTATAATTTATTTCTAAATTTGAGTTTCAATCAATAGTTTATGATACCACTAAAAGCAACCATACAAGAAACTTCAAAATTCACTGAAACTGATAGGAGTGTTGAGCCCTACACAATGCTGCCAGTCCAAGCACACAGTCACAAAATTCCGTCCTTATGCTGAAAGTGAGCAATAAATCTGGATGTTCACCATCCGTTATAAAGCATCAACCTGGAGCCTGGCATGATATCTCAGTGACTAAACCTTCACCTTGCAGGCACTGGGCTCCCATATGGGCACCGGTTGGTATCCTGACTGTTCTACTTCCCATCCTGCTCCCTGCTTGAGGCCAGAAAAAGCATCAGAGCAAAGCCCAAAGCCTTGGGACCCTGCGCCCATATGAGAGACCTGTAAGAAGCTTCTGGCCCCTGGCTTCAGATCCTGTCCTTTGCGGCTACTTGGGGAGTGAATCAACAGAAAAAAGATCTTCGTCTCTCTTTCTCCCTACAAATCTGCCTTTCCAATACATAAATTCAAAAATTTCAACCTAACATCTGTTTATGCTAGTACAATCCTTTAAAATTTTTAAAAATGTTTTTTTAGGGCCCGGCGCGATGGTGCAGTGGTTAAGGTCCTCGCCTTGCACGCCCGGGATCCCATATGGGTGCCAGTTCTTATCCCGGCGGCCCCGCTTCCCATCCAGCTCCCTGCCTGTGGCCCGGGAAAGCAGTCGAGGACGGCCCAAAGCTTTGGGAACCTGCACCCGCACGGGAGACCCGGAAGAGGCTCCTGGCTTCGGATCGGCATAGCATCGGCCATTGCACTCACTTAGGGAGTGAATCATCGGATGGAAGATCTTCCTCTCTGTATATCCGCCTTTCCAATAAAAATAAGATAAATCTTTAAAAATGTTTTTTTATTGGAAAGGCAGATTTACAGTGAAAATGAGAGACAGAGAAAAGATCCTCCACCTTCTGGTTCATCACCAAGTTGCTGCAACAGCCAGAGCTGAGTCAATCCGAGCCAGGAGCTACTTCTGCATCTCCCACTTGAGTGCAGGTTCCAAGAATGTGGGTTATCTTCTGCTGCTTTCCCAGGTCACAAGCAGGGAGCTGGATCGGAAATGGAATGGCTAGGACACAACACAAGCCAGCACCCACAAGGATAACCTCTTTACAGAAAGAAAAGAAAGAAAAGAAGGAAAAAGGGCTGTAAGTGGGAGGGAGAAGAAAGGAGGAATGGAGTCAGATAGCAGCACTGGAAACCAACCTCACTCCACATAGAACAAACACCAGCTCACACATCTTGGGAAGGTACTTGGCATCCGAAACCAACCACATGCCACACACCCTGTTCTCTAACCCTCCTCAATCCATGTCCTACTTGCCTCCACACATACCATCTACTCCTCCTGTGCCTATTCAGAAAATCCTCTCCATACTGCCTTGACTTCACTGTAGTTTTAGCTGCAGGTCAAGTATTAGCCTTCCTATGCGTCCACTTCCTAACTATAAAAGGAAATGGCCAGTACCTCTTTATAGGGTGACACAGAGAATGAAATTTTCACTTCTCCAAGGTTAAGTGTGCTGCCTGACACCTAGCCAGGTGTCCCACAAACATTGGTTCTCTTCTTAATCACAAAGAAAACTCAACACCCACGGCAACTGGAAGGGGGAATCAGTCAAAAGTGACAGATCACTGGAGACCATCCATTAGTCAACTTTATCAGTGTAAGAATCTAATTTGCAAAGTTCAGAATCCTGTGATGTTCAAAACCCGTTTCTGGTACCAGCACTGTGGTACAGTGAGCTGAGCCACAGCCAGGATACCAGCATCTCATAGATTCGAGTCTCCATGGTTCTGCTTCTTCTTCCATTCCCTGATAAGGCACCTGCAAAAGCTGTGCAAGGTGATTCAAATGCTTGGTCATTGCCTCCGAAGTGGGAGATGAGGACGGAGCTCTAGGTTCCTGACTCTGGCCTCACCCAGTCCCAGTCATTGAGGCTACTCAGGGAGTGAACAAATGACTGCAAGATTCTCTCCCTTACTGTCACTATTTCCCACCCTTGCACCCATAACTTTCTCTTTCAAACATATAAAATAAATCTTTTAAAAATTTCTGGGGCCAGTACAGTGGCTCAACAGGCTAAGCCTCCACCTGCAAGCACCAGCATCCCATATAGGTACTGATTTGTATCCTGCCTGCTCCACTTCCCATCCAGCTCCCTGCTTGCGACCTGGGAGATCAGCAGGAGATGGCCCAAGTCCTTGGGATCCTGCACTCATGTGGGAGATCCAGAAGTTCCTAGCTCCTGGCTCCTGACATCAGCTCAACTCAGCTCTGGCCATTGCAATCATTTGGGGACTAAGCCAGGGGATGGAAGAGCTTTCTCTGTCTCTCCTCTCCATAAATGTGTCTTTCCAATTAAAAGAAATAAATCTTTTTTAAAATCTCCAAGTTTATTGACTTTCCTTTCTATCTTGGTTTTTAAAGATTTACTTGAAAAGGCAGAGAGGGAAACAGAGACAGACATCTTCCATCTGCTGGTTCACTCCCCAGTTGGCTACAACAAGGTCAAAGCCAGGAGCCAGGAACTCTACCCCTGTCCCCCACCTAAGTGGTAAGGACCCAAGTATTGGAGCCATCATCTGCTGCCTTCCCAGGCATGTCAGCAGGGAGCTGGATGGGAAGAACAGTTGGGAATCAAACTAGGCACTCTGACAGAGGCTGTGGCGATGCAAAGGACAAGTTAACCCACTGCACCACAATGCCAGCCCTTTTCAAGCAAGCCGATACATGAATTAAGATTCTCAGTTAAAACTATTAGTGAAATGTAGGCCTGGCACGGTAGCTTAGCAGCTAAAGTTCTTGACTTGCCTGCGTCGGGACCCCATATTGGTGGCGGTTCATGTCTCAGCAGCCCTGCCGCTTCCCATCCAGCTCCCTGCCTGTGGCCTGGGAAAGCAGTTGAGGACGGCCCAAAGACTTGGGACTGTGCACCCTTGTGGAAGACCCAGAGGAAGCTCCTGGCTCCTGGCTCCAGTTTGGCTTAGCTCTGATCGTTGTGGTCACTTGGGGAGTGAGTCAGCAGATGGAAGATCTTCCTCTGTCTCTCCTCCTCTCTACATATCTGATTTTCCAATATAAATAAGTAAATTAAAAAAAAACGATTAGTGAAATATTTACATCAAGTAATTTCTAAAGTCATTTAACTTTCCAACCACAATGATCAATTTTTCTATTTCAGCCAACCAAAGGCTTCTAAGCCACACAACCCAACGGCTTGAGGAGCTATAGTTATAGATGCTATGAGAAACACAAAGAAACAAAAAGAGTGGGTCTGGACTCTGGCACAGTACAGCAAACACGACCCCACTGTGCTGGGCAGATGCAGAAGAGGCCTTCCCACTGCACAGGTTCCAAGCTTTTTGTGGACAACCAATCTAATGCTAACTGAAAAGGCAAAAGTGTATATCTAAAACAATCTGGTTTCTGATGTATAGTTTTTAAAAATAGTTTCCAGGGGCATTATGGAACAGTAGAATAAACTACCTCCTGAGATGCCAGCATCCCATGTAAGTGCTGGTTGAAGTACTGGTTGAAGTACTGGCTGTTCCAAGTTCTATTCAGCTCCCTGCTAATGCAGCTGGGAAAGCAGTAGACAGTTCAAAGTGCTAGGGCCCCTGCACCCATGTGGGAGACCAAAACGGAGGTTCAGGCTCCTGGCTTCACCCTGGCCACTAGGGTCATTTGGGGAGTGAATCAACAGATCTAAGATTTCTCTTTGTTTCTCTCGCACACTTGCTCTACCCCCTGCCTTTCAAATCAATCTTTT